CGGGCCGGGCCGGGCGGGACGGGGGGCAGCAGGGCCGGGTGGGGTGTGTGTCCGTGTCCCTGCCCTGTGCTCCGGGCCGTGCTGTGAGGGTGGGTTCGTGGCAGCGTCTGTATTGGTTCTTGTGCGTTTGAAGGGTCTGGGCTTAAACGTTTTGTGATTAAGGTTTCTGGGTTTAAAGGTTCTGGATTTGAAGGGTCTGGGCTTAAACGTTTTGTGATTAAGGTTTCTGGGTTTAAAGGTTCTGGATTTGAAGGGTCTGGGCTTAAACGTTTTGTGATTAAGGTTTCTGGGTTTAAAGGTTCTGGATTTGAAGGGTCTGGGCTTAAACGTTTTGTGATTAAGGTTTCTGGGTTTAAAGGTTCTGGATTTGAAGGGTCTGGGCTTAAAGTTCCTGAGTTTAAAAGATTCTGGGTTTAAAATTTTTGGGTTTGAAGGGTCTGGGCGTAAAGTTCCTGGGTTTAAAAGGTTCTGAGTTTAAAATGTTTGGGTTTAAAGGTTCTGGATTTGAAGGGTCTGGGCTTAAAGTTCCTGGGCTTAAAAGGTTCTGGGTTTAAAATGTCTGGGTTTAAAGATTTTGGGTTTGAAGGGTCTGGGCTTAAAGTTCCTGGGTTTAAAAGGTTCTGGGCTTAAAGTTTCTAGGCTTAAAATTTCTGGGTTTAAAGGTTCTGAGTTTAAAATGTTCTGGGCTTATAGTTCCTAGGCTTAAAAGGTTCTGGACTTATAGTTCCTCGTTTTAAAGATTCTGGGTTTAAGGTTCCTTGGTTTAAAAGTTCCTGGAATTAAAGTTCCTAGGCTTGAAATTTCTTGGTTTAAAGATTCTGGGTTTGAAGGTTCTGGGTTTAAAAGCGTCTGGGTTTGAAGGTTCTGGGCTTAAAGATTCTGGGTTTAAAAGGTTTTGGGTTAAAAGTTCCTGTGTTTTAAAGCTTCTGAGCTTGCAGTTCCTGGTTTTAAAGATTCTGGGTTTAAGGTTACTTGGTTTAAAAGTTCCTGGACTTAAAGTTCTTAGGCTTGAAATTTCTTGGTTTAAAGATTCTGGGTTTGAAGGTTCTGGGTTTAAATATTCTGAGTTTAAAAGGTTCTGGGCTTAAAGTTCATGAGTTTAAAAGGTTCTGGGTTTAAATATTCTGAGTTTAAAAGGTTCTGGGCTTAAAGTTCCCGGGCTTAAATTTTTGGTGTTAAAATTTCTGGGTTTAAAAGGTTCTGGGTTCAAAAATTCCTGGGCTTAAATTTCTGATGTTAAAATTTCTGGGTTCAAAACAGACATTTCTGGTTCAGAGTCAGCTCCCACTCGACTCTCCTCAAAGGTGGAACATTAAGTGTTTGCTGCTAAAAATCAGTGTCAATAGATCCATGTGTTGGGCTGTGTGAGGTTTGCAATGTCTCCTCCTGCTTTTTTGTGCAGAGGTTTGTTTTTAAACTCCAATGGGTGATGAAAAGGATTCCTGGAAAGTGAAGACTTTAGATGAAATTCTCCAGGAGAAGAAGCGAAGGAAGGAGCAAGAGGAGAAGGCAGAGATAAAACGTATGAAAAATGTAAGCTGCAATTTGGGATACACTTAATGAAGCCAGAGGAGCTGCAGTGCCTATGTCCTTGTTTTCTGAGCAGGAGAAGACTTCTTGCCTTGAATCCCTCTGTGTGTTTTGTGTGTGTGACCTCCAGTTCCAGAGTTTAACAAAAATAGGATGCTCTGTGATTATTGAACTGCCTTTACATTATACACTGTGCTTTGTTTCGTGGCTGTTGGTTAGAAAAGGCAAAGAAATTGATGTGACTAACTGGAAATTGCAGTTCAAGGAACAACTTTTCAAGGGTTTATGGAAGAATGGTTTGAAATGCAACTTTTGTGTTACTATTTGGGTTTGTATGACTGTGTACAAAATATCCTGGTTTTGGGAAAAACCCCATGTGATGGTTAATGGAATTCTTGCTAATCAGTGATTAGCTTTGCCTGGTTACATTGATTAAAGCAGCTCAGCACTAATTGCAGTCAAACCATTTGGCTGCTCACAGCTGTAAAGTCTTTGCTTCATTAGTGAACTTCCCTGGGGTGACCCATTGAGGATGGACTTAGAGCCAGCAAGAAAAGGCTTAAATAAGAGTTATATTTTTCTTTTTTGGGACCTAAACACTGATTTCAGTTTGTTTTTTCCCTCTCCTGTGCCCCCCCCAGTCAGATGACAGGGATTCCAAGCGGGATTCTCTTGAAGAGGGGGAGCTGAGAGATCACCGCATGGAAATCACCATCAGGAACTCACCCTACAGGAGGGAAGACTCAATGGAAGACAGGTCAGAACACACAGATCACCTTGCTACCTCAGAGAGAGTCACAGAAATGAACCTTGGAAGGATTTGAGAGGGTTTGAAAGATCTGAAGGGAGAAGTTTAGTGTTTTTAGTGTGTGGATGTGCCAGAACACGCCAGGGTACCTCACTCTGAAGCACTGGCTGAGGCTTTGCAGGGAGTTGTGCTCTAATTTTGGTCTCATTATTACTGAGATGACTTGAATACAAAATAATAAACCAGGAATCTTTTTGGACCAGGGAAAAGAGGGAATAACTCATGGTCTGTTTGACAGGCCCTGTCACCTCCCTGAGTTTATTCATGCCTTGTGTTTTAGGGGGGAAGAAGATGATTCCTTGGCTATAAAACCACCACAGCAAATGTCTCGGAAGGAGAAAACTCACCATAGGAAGGATGAGAAGAGGAAAGAGAAGCGCAGACACCGCAGCCATTCCACAGAAGGTGCTTGTTGCTGCCCTTGGGAGCTTTGGGAGCTTCCAGGGGGAAGCCAAATAGGCTCCATGTGGAGTAAATGACATGATAGACTAAGGGAAATGTGTCAGGGGGCTAAGAGAAAGGAATTTAAACTTTCATTATTTCTTTGACTATATTTATGGAATTGACAGGGGTGTAAATGTGGGTGAGAGCACAGGAATCACTTTGGGACAGGGACACAGTCACTTTTACCCCTTGAAGTCTGAGAAGCTTCTTTCTGGCTTCCCTGAGTGAATGGGTTGAGCTCTGGGCTGTGCACCTGACTGCACAAAACATCCTTTCTAGAAACATTCACATTGTCTTCCCGTTACTAACAGCCATTCTCTACTTGAATTCAAGCATTTGTGCAAGATCTTAGCCCCTTTGGATTTCCCAACCCCCTTCCAGAACAGGATTTTCCCATTAATAAACCCACAAGAGAATATGGAAATAGGTTCCCACAAGTTTCCCCCTCTTCTCTGGTTTTGGTTGGTGAAAACAGGAGCAGTGGATGCTTTGACTAGTAACACTCCAAAATGAATTTCTGTTTGTTTAGGGAAACATGCCAGAGTGAAAGAGAAAGAACGGGAACATGAGCGTAGGAAGAGGCATAGAGAAGAGCAGGATAAAGCTCGTCGTGAATGGGAGAGGCAGAAACGGAGAGAGATGGCAAGGGAGCATTCCAGGAGGGAGAGGTACAGCTATCCCTCCTTCCCCTCTGGCAAACCAGCTCAGAGATGAGCAGCTGCTTCCTCTGATCTCTCCCTTAACCGTTCCTTGGTCTGAAATGACAAAAGGAAATCCTCAGTGTGGTGCCTGTGCTGTGTTCCTGGGAATGTGGTGTGTGCTGGGATGTGTGCTTGGCTTTAATCACCTCTGTGGGTGCTGCAGACACTCTGAGGGGACTCACTGCCAGGGTCTCACTGTCATGAAAAGGTTGGACTTGGTCTTAGAGGTCTTTCCCAACCTCAATTTACATCTTTTCCAACCTGAGTGATGCTGTGAAAAATAAAGGTGTGAAGCAGATTTGCATAGAATGAGGGGATTCATTACCTGAACTTGCTTGATTTCTGTTGAGACCCTGATAAGGGGGAAGAGCTCATGGTCTTTGCCTTCGAAATGTGTTTGGAAGCTGTTTGTGGTTTGTCTGACACAGCCAGTGTTGTTGGCAATGCTTTGTGACAACAAACCAGTTTTGCTTTACCTCATGGACTGAATTGGTAACAAAAACTATTCCTTTCCCAGGGATCGCCTGGAGCAGCTGGAGAGGGAGAGGGAGAGGAAAATCCGAGAGCAGCAGAAGGAACAACGGGAGCAGAAGGAGAGAGAGAGGAGAGCTGAGGAGAGGAGGAAGGAGAGGGAAGCCAGGAGAGAAGGTGACTGTCTCTGCAGGGATGTTGCTCATATTTCCCATCTGCTGGCACAGAGGTGGAATGGAGGATGGAAAGTGCTTTATGTTTAGTGCCAGGCCTTGTCCACGGGAGGGGAAAGGGAATCTGAGTCCTACATGGGGAGAGAAATCAATGTTAGGATGCTACGTGTCTTAATCTCCTGACGTGTGAGTAGTCAGTGAGTCTGTGCCTCCCTCTCTCAGTTTGGGCTCCTGCAGAAACAGGATCCCTGTGCATGTGTATCCATCACAATCCCAGCTGCTTCTGATCTCTGTGGCTGAGTCTAACCCAACTTGGTAGAGATTGAGACCTCCAAATTCAATGTTTTAAGGATTTGGGGAAGTGAATTGCAAAGGGGGGTGCTGGGTGGGAGTCAGGTGGGGAGATCTGGTAACACCTGAACCTCTCTGTGCTCAGCGTGGCAGTGTTTGCAGTCTAAGGTCAGATCACTTTTGCTTAAAGGAACTCTTGGCCCTTCTTTCAGAGGTAGAAATCAGAGCCCGTTCCTGGGGTGCAGTGAGAAAAAAATGGTTCAAGAGTAGCAGAAGAAACCATATTTTTTGCTTTTCTTCCTAGCTCAGCTCACACCAAACAGCTCCTTTTTGTGCTTGGCTTTATGCTGATAGTGCTCAATCTGTGCAGCCTTTCATTTACTTAATTTGATTGCTCTAAATGTTCTGTCAGCTCCTTCTAAGTCTCAGCTGGTTTGAGTCTTTGGCATATCTTCCACTTCTCTCTCTGGCATTAATGCTGTGGTGTCAGGGTGTTCACTGGGAAACACACAGGGCATCTTGCTTCTCTTTCCCAAGCGTGGCAGCAGCTTTCTCTGGGCAGGACAAATCCTTCTTTCACTGGAGCCAAATCCTAGTCCTTTATCCCCCCCAGAGATGCAGTTAGGTTCTACTTCCACTGCTCCCCACGACCCTTTAGTGTGTGAGGAGGAAAACACTCCCAGCATGTGGCTGTGGCAGACAGGAATACTCTGATTAGGGCAGGGAGATGTAACGATGTCTTGTGGTTTTGTTTTCCCTAGTTTCTGCACACCATAGAACAGTGAGGGAAGAATATGGAGACAAAGTAAAAATGAGACCCTGGAGTCGCAGCCCTTTACGCCAGCAGAGAGAGAAGCTTGAGCAAGGAGAGAGCAGGAAACCAGGTAGCACCTGCCACTCTACACTGTCTTTGCCTGGGGCTAGCAGGAGCTGGGCTGGGGCAGGTATTCACTTGTAGTGTTCCAGATATGTCCCAGGTACTCAGTTCCAAGCCTTATCCACCTGGTGGTGGCACAACTGGAATATTCCTAAACATTTGTGCTGTTTTCTTTAGAGTGTTGGTTCTGCAGGAGTTGTGCAAGTGACACATGGGATGAATTGAGGAGGAGGAGTAGGGATTGTAAAAGTTTCAAATGAGTTACTTCATGCAGTGGTGGAAGAAGCAGCTGACTGAATTGTTAAAATCCTTGCAGATTCGACAGGGATTGGGTACACCAGCTCCAGCTGGATTTGTTGTTAGGAGCTAACCTACCTTAAAGTTACCCTACAGGGATCAATGTAGTTCAAGCATCACTGATATTGTCATCTCATGGAGGGAAGTAAATGCTTAAGGCAGTGATCTGGTGATGAGGTGGTGAATTTTGTTGTCCAAGGCAGAGAATAGTCCTTGCCATGCCTGGAAGGGGCAGAGAACTTGCACAATTGACAAAGTGTCTTTGTCTAAAGAAGAAAAGCTCTGTGTCTGCCCTCTTAGTGTGTGCAGCTGTGGAAACAAGTGTAGCCATTTAAAGCAAGCTGATTGCTGAATGGAATCAGCTGAAATTCCAGGTGGAGGCAGCAAGTCCTTGGAATCCATCAACAGCTGACATGTGCTGCTTTGTGGTGATCAGTCTGGCCTGGAGCAGTGAGCACTGTGTGCACAGCAGGGACACTGTCCTGCTGGTACCTGTCAACATGTTATTCTCTCCTCACTCTAATTAATTTTAGAGTGGCCTGGAAAGATCTTTAAACCCCAGAAGGTCAATATTCCTTGGTTTTGGCTCTTGCTCCTGCACCACTGCAGTTCAGCAAAGCTGTTTGTCATTGAGCAGAGTGTGCAGTTAATTTTTCAGTGCTCTGAATTTCCAACCCAGAACGTTCAGCACCAGTTTAATGCCAAGAGAAGGTGAAGTTACCTGGGTATGCAGTCTTGGGAGTGATACTCAGTCAACACCCTGTTTTTAATCCTTGTGGTCTCAGCAGTGAAAGAAGAGAAGCCAGAAGAGAGAGATCCTCTTTCAGACTTGCAGGACATCAGTGACAGCGAGAGAAAAACCAGCTCAGCAGAGTCTTCATCAGGTGATTACATGCAATTGAGTAGATGGAATTAATTGGACAGGTGTAATTGATTTCTCTGTCGAGGAAACAGTGTGTGCCAATGTGATTATGTGTTTGGTTCTTCCTGGACAGAATCTGGATCAGGCTCAGAAGAGGAGGAGGAAGAGTCGAGCAGTGAAGGCTCTGAGGAGGAGGGAGAGGAGGAGGAGGAGGAGGAGGAGACAGGAAGCAATTCTGAGGAGGTGTCTGAGCAGTCAGCAGGTGAGAGACACAGACAGGGCCCAGAGCTGTGTGTGGGGATTGTTCCTCAGTCTGTGTTGTTTGAGTTGAACATTTCTCTGAGTCTAGAGGGGGCTGAGACCTCACAGGCCACGATAACTAGAAAGAAACAAAACAGGTACAAATAATTTTCTGTCCTTTTGTCTAGAAGTAATACCAATTCTTCATCTAAGGAGCCGCATCAGAAACCTGAAAGGCATTTTTGTCTCCCTGGCAGGTGTCAGGCCAAGAGTTCAAGTGGTTCTGTACACATCAGATATTCTGCAGAGCACAGTTCTGCACTTCCCTGGGGGTGGTGAAATACAAATGTGCCTGTGTAATTCGGAGTTAGTTTCAGTTGCAAATCTCAGACCTTTTTTTTTCCACACTAGTCCAAGGAAATGAACATAAAGGTTCAGGAGAGAAGTCTGTTTGCAGCCATTGCTGGAATGGCTGAGTGAAGAACAGGCACAAAAACAAGCTCTGGGGATTTTGCTGTAAAATCAATGAGTTGATAAGCAAATATTCATCATTTATTCACCTTCCACATGCCCAAATTCCCAGGGAATCAGTAAGCATGGTGCTCCCTGCTGGAAGCACTTGCTGCCCAAGTGAAACACAGGTCACCAGCAGGGAGGGCAGAGGGCCTGGAGAGGGAGAGGAGCATTGCAGCAGCTGATTCAGAACCTGTTGTGTCTTGCAGAGGAGGTGAGCGAGGAGGAGATGAGCGAAGAGGAGGAACGGGAGAATGGAAACCACATCCCAGTTGGTACAGTGCAAATCCTGACTATGCAAACACAAGTGCTTGGCTGGATTTTTGCAGCCAAAGAAATCTGTTTCTGGCTATTTAAATGTAGTTCTTGCTGCAGCTTTGGCACCATTGTAGAGCATCATTTGCTTGGTGATTTGAGGCCATTTGCATGTCAGAGTCAGAAATTCCCTCAAATTGCTCATTGGCAGGAAATCAGGTCCTGCTCTTTGAGTTTGGGTCTCTTGTCCTGCCCTCTCCTCAGAGCAGATCCTGGGTCAGGTGTCACTCCTAGTGTGAAGGTATTTCCCTGACCCTCTGTATATACCTGGAAATGGTCTGTCCATGACTGCAGATGATTCTTTGACAGCATCACCTGGGCAAAGAGGAGAGATTTGACTTCTCAGTGCTCATTCAGTGCTGTCACTGCCCTTACCTGCCTGCAGCTGAATTGGGTTGTTCCAAACCTCTTTCCACGACTGATTCTGACTGTTAAAGTTCCAGAGTCGAGGTTCGACCGCGATTCCGCCGGGAGTGAGGTGGAGGAGGAGGAGGTGGGAGAGGGTTCCCCTCATTCCAATGCCATGACAGAAGGAGACTATATTCCTGACTCCCCAGCTTCCTCTCCCATTGAACTGAAACAGGAGCTTCCCAAGTACCTTCCTGCACTCCAGGTAGGACAGCACTCCATGAAATAAGAGATAAGAACATGAGAATACTTTCAGTGCTCTGATACTCTGTGTTTTCTGCCTGAACCTGGATCCTTGGGAGAGGAGAGTTCTGTTCATGCCCAGAGGCTGTGGGTGGTTAGTTTTGTGTAGCCAATGGTGTAGAAATGGGAAGAGAAAGCAGCTCTGTACTCAGTTCTGGGCCAGGTGTCAGTGTGAGGTGCTGAGTTGCTGCCTCAGCCTTTGTGGCACAACCTTCAGCTCAGTCTGTGCCAAAGTGAGTGAGTGAAGACCTAATGTCAGACTCTCTTCAGGATTGCTTTAGAAAAACAACCCCCAGAGGTCTCTTTCTCACATGGAGATGAATTCTCTTGGTAATGCTGAGCAAAACACTGATGGATTGTCCTGAAAGATTTGAACTGTTCTTGTGATGTAGCTGCAGTTTGCTGTGTGTCTAAATTCTGTCCCTCTGGTTTTTTAGGGATGTCGCAGCGTGGAGGAATTTCAGTGCTTGAACAGGATTGAGGAAGGAACATATGGTGTGGTGTACAGAGCAAAGGACAAGAAGACTGGTTGGTATCAGTGCTGTTCCCCTCAGGTGTTTAGGGCCCCAAAATGATGGTTCTGCATCTCTCAGTGATGAGCAAAATGTATTTACACTGCCTCTTTACCAGCTCATTCTCAAGGCAAAATGCAGCACAGTAAATTAAATAGTACACAGATCAGTGGCAAAGCTCTGGGGAATATGGATTTTTCTTAGCTGTGTGATGGGAACTGGCAGAGCTCTGGGGAATGTGGATTTTTCTTAGCTGTGTGATGGGAAATGCGTTTCCTTCACAGATGAAATTGTGGCTCTGAAGAGACTGAAGATGGAGAAGGAAAAGGAAGGTTTTCCAATCACTTCTCTGAGGGAAATAAATACTATTCTGAAGGCACAGCATCTAAATATTGTCACTGTCAGAGTAAGGCTGCAATCTTCTCTATGTCAAAGTAGTTTTGTGCTTGAAATATTGCTCTTGGCTTTGAAATGCTCTGTAAAGTGTCAGCAATCCTAGCAGAGCTTGTTCTTGTGTGCTGCTCACATTAGTGTCTGCATAACCTGATGTTTTGCAAAACATTTTAATAGAAAAATACATTTCCTATGGATTTTGCCAATGGCAACCTCCATCCTTTTGCCAGTACATTGATTTTTGGGTGCTTTTTAGTGTGCTGGTGTTGATCAGATGTTTCTGTGTTGCAGGAAATCGTTGTGGGCAGCAATATGGATAAAATCTATATTGTGATGAACTATGTAGAACATGACCTCAAGAGCCTGATGGAAACAATGAAACAGCCATTCCTGCCAGGTACTGTTTGCCACTGGAAATCCTGGAAAAACTGCCCAGCACAAAAGGCTGTGTGATAGAGAATGACACATTCTTGTGCTGCAGGTGCTACCACACCTTGAACTTGACACCCAAAGTGAAAGAACAATGAAACAAAAATGAGAGGTGTATTTTTATCAAATTAAGAGATTTATTTGGCTTCTTTTTTTATCATCCAGGCGAGGTGAAAACCTTGATGATCCAGTTACTGCGAGGGGTCAAACACCTCCACGACAACTGGATCCTGCACAGAGACTTGAAAACTTCCAACCTGCTGCTCAGCCATTCAGGCATTTTAAAGGTAGGAACTGCAGGGAATGACCACACTTGGGATGAGGTTTACACTGTGTTATAGTGTAATCAGGGTGAGATAGTGAATGGTCAGTGCTGGAGCTGTTGCTGATGACCATTTTTCCTTCCAGGTTGGAGATTTTGGACTAGCCAGGGAGTATGGCTCTCCCCTGAAGCCTTACACACCTGTGGTGGTGACACTGTGGTACAGAGCTCCAGAGCTGTTGCTTGGAGCTAAGGTATGTTCCTCTGAATGACTCCTCAGCCTGTTTTATAAGTGATGAACAAGGTGTGACCATGCTTGAGTCATATATTGAGTCTTATATTGATTCAGGGGGGGAAATTCTGCATCTCCAGGATTATTTCTCCTCATGCCACAGCTAAAGCCCTTCCACTTCCCCACACAGGAGGGGGGTGGGTGGTAGATGGAGTGTCTCTCCTTTGGAATGCTGAGGTGCTCAGTGCTGTTGGACTTCCCATGGGTGGGCAGGGACACCTTCCCCTAGCCCAGGTTGCTCCAAGCCCCATCCAGCCTGGCCTGGAACACTTCCCAGGGATGGAGCAGCCACAGCTTCTCTGGGCAATCTGTCTCTCACCACCCTCACAGGGAGGAATTTCTTTCTTGTGTGTGTTCTGGTCAGTGTAGAATCCTTTTAAAAAAACAAAAAACCACATAAAATCCCAGACCGCAGCACATCCCAACCAAACCAGTGGAAGTACCTTAGTGATTTTATGAGGTATAATTCTCTTTTCCTTCTTTCCAGGAATACTCCACAGCCATAGACATGTGGTCTGTGGGCTGCATCTTTGGGGAGCTGCTGACACAGAAACCACTGTTCCCAGGGAAGTCAGAAGTTGACCAGATAAACAAAGTCTTTAAGGTAATATAGGTAACACCTTTGGGTTCTGACTGGGTTTAGAGACAGGAACATTAGAGGAGTAAGAGGTTAAGTGCTTGTTGCTCTTTGACAGAGATTCAGCCTCAATAAAAGGCTCCTTACACTTAGACCAGGATTTGTCTGTTTTCTCTGGGTGTTTCCCTACTCCTCCACAGTGCCTTAGTCAAAGATTGCACTTTTATTGTGTCCCCATTTCCAGGATCTAGGCACTCCCAGTGAAAAGATCTGGCCTGGGTACAGTGAGCTGCCAGCAGTGAAGAAAATGACCTTCACAGAGTATCCCTACAACAACCTGCGCAAGAGATTCGGAGCTTTGCTCTCTGACCAGGGCTTTGACCTCATGAACAAGTAAGTGCCAAGTGCCAGGGCATCCTGGGGAATCTGTGCAGTGAAACATGGGTGAAGGGTTTGGATCAATCAGCTACAAGGTGTAGTCACACTGTGTCACAGGATGGTGTGGTGTGTCAATGTAATCTCAGTTGTCTCCTGCAAACAGCATTGTAAAATGGTGTAGTGAACCATCCTGGATCCCTTTGGAGCTGGATCTGACTCCTCACAGCTTCTGTGGTGTCCAGGGGTTCTGTGGGAGCAGAGCCCTGCACAAGCCATTTGGGCTGTGTAATTTTAGCTGCTGTCCCATGGAGGAGGATGCTGTAACATCAGCTGTGTCAGTAATCATTAGCAGGACTCTACCCAGTGCCCAGGGACAGAGTTATACCCAATAACCCTCAGCACCACAATTCTGTGCTCACAAAACTCTCACCTGCATTGCTGAAGAACTTTGGGGCTAACATTTCCTTCCTCCCTAACCTTCTTTGCAGCTTTCTGACCTACTACCCAGCCAGGAGGATCACAGCTGAGGATGGCTTGAAGCATGAGTACTTCCAGGAGACTCCTCTGCCCATCGACCCCTCCATGTTCCCCACGTGGCCAGCCAAGAGTGAGCAGCAGAGGGTGAAGAGGGGCACGAGCCCACGGCCCCCCGAGGGAGGGCTGGGCTACAGCCAACTGGTGAGTGCAGCCCCAGAGCCAAAATCCTCTGGGTTGTGTTGGGTGGGAGCCTGGGGCCATTCCATGGGCAGAGCCAGGTAGGGTTGTGCTCACAGGATCACCATGTCAGGGCAGAACCAGCCAGAAATAGACCTGGGTTGTTGTTTAGCTGTTGGAGAGGGAAAGGAGCTGCACAGCCACTGATCACTACCTGTGGTTGGTTGTCACAGGGAGATGATGACCTGAAGGACACAGGATTTCATCTGACCACCACAAACCAAGGAGCATCTGCTGCAGGACCTGGATTCAGCCTCAAGTTCTAAACTCAACATGAAAGAAGGGGAAAAATCCCACAGAGGAAAAGAAGCCCCATCCATGTGAGTGGATCTGAGTGCTCAGGGCTGTTCTGCCTGTCAGGGGCAGGAGATGTTGTTCACAGGCAAAGACTCAAACATCCTCACAGATTCCAAGGCTCTTGTTTTGCAAATCAATGTGGAGTATAACTGCTGCATTCCATTAGAGGACTGGAGGAACCTGCAAACCCCAGGATCTCCACAGACTGGGACAAAGGACAGCTGGAAATGCTGTCCTGAGGCAGGTCCTGGTTTATTTTTAGGGGTTTTTTTGTTTTATTTTTGTTGGGTTTGTTTTGGTTTGTTTTTTGGTTGTTTTTTTTTTTTCCTTGTAAATTTGTAGAATTAAAATACATTTTCAATTGTTTACCAGTGTGAAGGATTTCATTGCTTCACAGGCAGCAAACTGGGCTGGGCAAGGAAGGGTTTATTTTGTATTTGAAGGAAATTGTTTGTGTCTGAATATATTTGGGGCAAAAAAAAAGTGGCAGTTTTGAGGTTTCTTTGCCTGTTGCCTTGCAGAGAGGCTGAGGTGGGTTTGGGCCTCCCTGTCCACTCCTGAGCTGAGTTTGCTTTGTTCTGTGCAGCTGTTTGTGATGGTGCAAAACAAGTTGTTCTGTTGTTCTATAAATCAAAAAGATTTAATATGGAGACTTGAAATATTATTCTCTATGTCAGTTTGTTAATCTGTTTTTTTCTCCCTCCAAAAGAACAGCTCAGCTCTAGTGCTGAGCCACATTCCAGTCCTGTCTCAGCAAAGAGCAGAGGAGGAATCATGATGTGACTATCACATCCTTTGGAGCCCCTGATTTATGCTGCTCTTTCCTGGGAACAGGGAGCTTTGGAAAACACCAAATTTTCAAGCAATCAGCTCTGGGCCTTGAGCCAGGGACAGGATTAACTGACATCATAAACATTCTATCAGTTTCAGTACAGTTGAAGAGTTTTCTGGAACTGGAATGTGGAGGGACTGAGGTTGTGGTTGGGTTGTTGTTCCCAGGGTGGAATGCAGAGCTGAGTTCTGCCCAGACTGACTGTGCTGAGGGAGAAACAGTGCAGAATTCTAGAAGATTCCTCCCAGGTGGAGCTCAGGGAGCTGTGGGAAGCAGAGCCACTGTGCCATGGCCTGGGTGAGGCACAGTTTGTGGAGGACATGGAATCATTCCCCGCACAGCTTTACCCACCACTTTCCCTGCTCAGTGTGGTGCTTTTACCTCATCCTTGGGTGCCTGGGGAGGACAGGGCTGGAACTCACCTCCTGTCTCAAAGACACCTCAAGAACAAGCTCAGAGCAGCTGTTGGGGATGGAAATATCTGCAGGGATGAGAGTAATCAGTACAAACCACAGGAAAGCAGGTGGGGCAAAGATGGTCTGTGGCTACTTGAACATGTTGAAAGGTAGAACTGAGTAAGACCCAAACCAGAGGCAAGTAAAAAGTACTATTAGGACTCAGCCTTTTGTATAGTTTCTTCCAGTGCAGTGCACCAGGATCAAAAAAATGGCAGTAAAACACTTACAGAGAGTTTCCCTGGTCCTTTTCCTTCCAGAGCAGCTGTGCAGCACAGCTGAGCCATCCCACTGTGCTCCAGGGTGCTGGGGCAGAGCTCTGCTCCTGGTCTGCAGCAGCCACAGTGATCCACACACACTCCAACTGCACCATCTGACACTTTTCTTTAAAAAAAATGGGGTTTAATTCTCTGTACAGCACAGACCTCATCAGTTCTGGGTCGTTAAACCCAACGTGGAGGAGCTTTACATTCCAGTAACCAGGCTGAGAGTCAATTTTGCCCAAGGTGCTGCAGCAGCTGATGGAGAGTTCAGTTGCACTACTGGAGATTAGGTATAAAATGCCAAAGAAACAATGGAACCAGAACTAGCAGGAACTGAAGTGGCTCATTCCAGGGCCTTGTCAGTGCTTCAGTCTGATCCTCCAGGAATAAGTAGTCAAGATCCTTTCCTTTTTCTTCACTATACAAGTGTAAGTCCCTTCATTAATTGCATTTGCAATGATGCTCATGTGATCTTCATTTAAGGCTAAATAACCTGGGTAGGAATATTCCAGGAGCTCCTTATCTTTATACCAGCTGTGATAAGAAAAAAGAACAGAAATTAAACTACCAATGTCCAGCACAATTCAGGGTGGTAGTGGTTCTTCCTTCTCCTGATCACTGTTGCTGATGAGGTGCAGAGCAGAGATGGAACTTAGTTCAGTTTTACTCTGTGTTTCATAAGAGGTGTAACAGGGCACAATCCTGAGCTGGAATTACTGAGAGCTGATGGGAATTTGGGTTCTCAGCCTAAACCAGCTCATGGATCTGGACCAATCTCTGCATTTTAGATCCATCCAGACATAACCTGCTCATCCTTCAGTAACAGCTAACTAACTATTCACTGAAATGGTAAATTTAAGACTAGTGTTGTGCAGACCATGGGCCAAGGAATTTGGCTTGGTGGTAGGAATTAATAAGCCTAAATAAAGAGTAGCTAAAAGTTTGCAAAGCTATGGACAATACTTGGCCTTTCGCTCCCCTCAGTGCTCCTCTCTTCCTCCTCTGGGACACACTCTAGAGGACAAATTCCACTCTTAGTTACCCTGTTTTGTCCTCCTTCCTCATCCTGTTTGATGTGTAAGCTGCAAAGTGTCCCCCAGGACTGGAAAAAAAATAAAATCTGAGAGCACTTACTAGACTTTGCCTTTCTTATGGATGATCTTCTGCCCACAGCGGAAGGTGACGTTCCTGCCCTCAGACACTGTCTTGGTCTTGGTCCTTGGTGGGGGCAGAGTTGGGGGCACTGTTGGAAAGGGGAATTCTGTCCACCAGAGAGAAGAGAAGCAAAGGGCAGATGTTAGCAGTGACTCTCAAGCTTCAGTCATTCCAAAACACCTGCACAGAACTAAGTTATCACTTAAGGAGATTTAAAAATGTCCATTAAAAATGCTTCCTGAGCAGTTCTTGAGTAGACACAGCACATGGTTCATGGGCAAAGCCAAAATTTTGAGGGTGTAAACTGAGGGGGACACAAATTAGTTTGCCCATTTCACAATATGGAGGAGCTTATGACCAGTCAGGTCAAGGTATGAACAGCCCCAGAATGGATCTGTAATTATCTGGCCTAAAAAAATCCCTCTGGGCTGGAGCAAGAAGGAGGTACCAGGCACACAGTACACCTTGGGGACAGCAGGTATTGATCTGCAGTTAGTTCCACAGCTGCAGCAACCTGACCTGATCCTGCATTAGTCCCTGACCTGGACCCAGAAACTACCAGAGACTGGAGGAGGTGATAAACCTTCACCTCCTTCTCTGCAGACAGCCCAAGCTGTGCTGGAGGTGCCATTTGGCTTGTTC